TATTGAAGCTGAATTCCAAGCAAATATGCAAATACACCAATTAATGTAGGTATGTATTAATTAAAACATCATGAAGTGTCTCTTTTATATACAGTTAGTGTAAGCACCGGAAATTGACTTGGTATCTGCCTCTTGTAGCCCCTCTACATCACCATTTAGACTGGGAGAGTGAGCACATGTGCAGAAAAGGAATATACAAAGAAATGACCCATTAGTATTCTGCTGGTTCTTCACTGTTCAGGCACAGGCTTGGGGCAGAAAGCTGTCTTAATTTCGCCCCTTTCTTCTCAATTAAAACCTATGAAGTTAAAATTATATATATATAATCAAAATCTGTTTCTAGGTCAAAGCAACTCTGTCACTAAAAAATAAAGTTAAAATGATGTGCCTATTATCAAATAGGAGAAATTGCTTTGCACCAATATTTGTCCTGCAGCAAGCACTATAATAATTAACACTAAATGTTATGAATACAAAAATGTGCCACGCTCTACTGTACTGAAAGCTGTCAAATATCTATAGTGATATATACATGGATAATAGTGACCCATATAATCACAAACATCTACACATGGCAAATACACAATGTCCAATGAATGCCAATAGCACAGGTATGATTAAAGTGACATTAAACCCTCAGATTTTTTAACATAAAACAATACTGTAATGTGTGCCTTACTGTAATCCATGGTTGTTTCCCTTCTCTTTGCTGCTCTTCCTTTTAAATCTGTATCTGTTCTCATGCTGGGCAGAACTTCTGTTTTGCAGCAGACTGCCTTGTCTATGAAATGGATACATGGTGTCTGTGTGAAGGTTCACAACCTGAGCCAGCACTACAGGAAGAGGCACTCAGCTGCAAAGGGAAGTTCTCCCCAAGCATGAGAAGACATGAGGATTTAAAAGGAAGAGCAGCAAAGATAAGGGAAACTACCATGGATTACAGTAAGGCACACATTACAGTATTGGTTTATGTTAAAAAATCTGAGGGTTTAATGTCACTTTAAATCCAATTTTCCAACTACAATGTGTACAAGTCCACAAAATAAACACTGACCCTTGCGTATTGATCTGGTGCGTGCTATCCATCACCTCTTCAGATCTACTGCTACCACTGATGTGGGAAATTGCGCATAGGAATAAAACTGGCGAGGGGAGAACTGGAAGTGGGAATTGGCAAAAAATGGAACCAAATGGATTTATAAAGCAGACAGTTTGGTACTGAAAGGCCTCAACATGGAATTTGACTTGAATAATTTCATATGTGCCGTGCCGAGCCGATTGGGCCACACTCTGTTCAGCTGAAATGCAACCAGTTTATGGCCAGCTTAAAGGAGGACTATGGGGTCAGTGTTTTTCCCCATAGTTCTCTTTGGGGTAACGGGAGTACACAAACTAGCGTCCTCCCTTTACCCTAAGCTCAGTATACCGCGAGCTACAGCTCGCGGTATACTGAGACGCCGCACCTGGAGCGGATCCCGACTTAGATGACGGGATCCGCCCAGCTGCGTGAGTGACAGCTGGCTCTGCCTATCTAGAGGCAGAGCCAGCTGTACCCGCCCCCTCCCCCGTCCGTTCCGCCAGTCAGCGCTGGCAGATCGGAGCGGGGAATCCAGCCCCTCCCCTGTCACGGCAGAGAGCCGTGACAGGATCGAGAGGTGAGCCGACCTGTGACAGTCTCATTGTCACAGGTCGGCTTAGAACTATGAGGTGAGTGGAAATCACTCATGTCATAGTTCTCCTTTAAGCCTGTAGAAAGGTGCTGGTGTGCTTGTCACCTTGAGATTGCAAGTGGTTCACATCTAAACTATCAAATATTTCCGAGTTCCATACATAATAATAGATTCTGAGTTAAAGGTACTAAAGGTGGCCATACACTGCTCTCTTTTTTTTTTTTTCCTCATTTAACCCGCGGGCTGAGCAAAAAAGAGCAGATTCCTCCATCAATTGATCGAACGTGTTGTTCGAGGTATCCCCGCCTGCGGCCGCTGTCAGGTTATATGGGCAGAGCCAGCAGTTTGATTGCTGCCGGCTCTGTTCTTACGAAGGTTTTTTAACCAGTTCCTTCAATCAGCTGATCAAGGGATGCCGGCCAAAAGGAAGTCAACAGCGGCATCCACCCTGTGGGTTTCGGCCAATTCTAAATTCGCACAGTGTATAGCCACCATAAGTTTCCCTCTCTGGTCGATATTCCAAAAGAGAGCTAAGGAACCAGCACACTTAATTGCTATGATATCTAATCAGCTGAGAAGAGTGTACCTTGAAATTGCCCGTGTTGTGAAAATTTATTGTGCTTGAAACGTAAAGGTTTGCACTATAATGAACGTGTGCTGCAAACACATTGCGGGAAATTTTTCAAAGCTTTATTCACATCACTTCCTGTTCATCCATGATTGTAAATGTAGAAAACATACTATTTCCACAAGTTATGAATGGACAGAGGATTCCTGTTCATTGATAACAGGGACTGCAGAATAAGAGAGAGAGGGAAATATCAGGGATATGTTTAGACCCCCCCAATATTTCCCCGAAGCCCCTAACAGTAAAGTAAAAAAATTAAAATATTTAATAAAGTTTAGAAAAAAAAATATTTGAACAAAAATGTAAAAAAGAAAAAAAATGATTTTCGGTTTCGGCCTGACAATTTATTTTATTATTTTCGGTCAGAAAATGTAATATCTTCCAATGGAGAAGGTTTGTTTTGTATAGAGATTTTTTTAATGGTATAAATGTCGGAAAAAAATCAATAAAAGTTTTGGCTTTAGATACCCTGTAAACAATTGCTCACTATTCAGTTAAAGGTGGAAGAGCTTTGAGCGTTCCTTGCAAAGTTGATTAAGCTAAATTAAAAAAGATCCATTCCTGGGTGGATTTGTTTTTTTTTCTCACCAGAAATTAGCAAACCACTTGAAATATATTTTGCATGCATTAGCTTAGAATCGTTTTTCCCTACTAGCATTCCCAGTACACACTTTCTATTGCTGAATTCTTGCTCCTGAAAATGCTAATTGCCTGATTCTCTTACTCATCCAACGGCTTCTTCCTTTTAAATCTTGGAACCAGACCAATAATGCAGATTAGATGCTTTGACTTTAGGATTGGCATGACAGCCAGGCAACTTGCATTTTAAGAAGAAGCCTAAATCCCAATTAAAGTTTTTTTAATTTGCTAAATATATTCTAATTGCATGTAAAGAAGTTCTTTGTGTTATAATTTTGTTTTCTTTGCAGTGCAGTCACAACCTTAGAAAAGCTTGCTGCTAAGAGATCCCTGCTTCCTAACATAGAGCAAGTGTCCTTCTCTGCCACATTTCTGACTTTTTTCATAGTTCCATAGTTAGTCCGGTTTAAAAAAAAAGATATCCATCGAGGTCAACCTATAGAGATAAGAGAAAAAGAGAAGAAAAATCTCAAATAGAACGCTATGCCCACAGTTACCCACCGTTGATCTAGAGGAAGGCAAAGAAAGGAAAGTATTGGTCAATTTGCTCCAACTGGGAAGAAAATTCCTTCCTGATCCCATAAGGCAATCGGATATTCCCTGGATCAACAATCTCTGGTGCTTATTATAGTAATAAGTCATTATCCAGTAATATTCTGTGCATTTAGGAACACAGCCATATTTTTTTAAACTGGTTAACTGAACTAGCTCCTGGGGGAGTCTATTCCACATTTCACAGCTCTAACTGTGAATAATTCTTTCCGTATGCAAAGGTTAAACAGCAAAGAGTGCCCCCTTGTCCTTTGCAGTGACCTTAAAGTAAAGCTCACTATATGGGCCATTTATGTATTTATTTTCCACTGTGAATGTGGCTGATTTATAAAGAAAACTACTGTATGATTTTGCACAGCATTTGTTTTGATGCACCTGGAATGCAGCTATTTAATCCTTTGCTGCAAGTGGCCCTTTAAAGGGGCTGTGATACCGGAGGCCCATAGGAAGATCTCCCATTCATCCGTCTACTGTGATTGGCTGCACAGTGATGGTGCAATCGGGAGCCCATCTTCTGGCTCCTCATTGTCTGTGGTTGCCCATGAGCTGTTGGTGACAGCTCAGTCACAGCTCTGGGGGCACTGATTGAACTTGCCCCAGAACAATGCATATATTAGGCAGCTGAGCGTTGAGGCCCACCCGCCGTGCTGCCTTTATATATATGCATTACGCTATAGAGGGTTTAAAAATGAAAGCTCATTTGGGTGGCATAAGTTTTCTTTAATAGAAAGGAGGTCATGCTTCATTCAGAGCATTGGGAAGAAATGTTTAAAGAAACCTGCAATGAGAGAAATAACCGTTCTGCCATTGCTGACTTCTGAGGATGCTAGTTGCCTGGCTATCTTTGGCTATAAGCCACTTACCTGGAACAACATTACAGTATTTGACATCAAAACACTTGATTTGCATACTTGTTCTGGGCTAGTAAGAGTATTAAACTTATGAACAGGAAAACCAGGCAAGGAGTAGTGAGTGTTAGAAGCCACGTTTCACACAAGACATTTTAACAACTGCAGAGAAAGCAAACTCTGTCATCAATAGGTAGTGAATAGTTAGTTTCCTGATCACCATAAAGAGGAAAGGCAATTCAAGTTTTTGGCCTGTGATATAAAATGAAGCCTGTAGTGATTCTGCCTCTGTGTGATGTGAATACAAGTCAGCTCTGATTTATATCGGTGCAGCTCAGTGAGGCCTCTACCGTTCTCTCATTCCAGAAAACTGGAACACAAATCCTGACTACATAATAAATCAGCCCATGCTGTCTGTTTAATGTCAGTTCTTATCCTGCCTGGAATAAGTTGTATGTACCAATATCCCTTAACTTCAAAAATACCAACATTTCTATGTCTTGAAAGAATTTTAGATAGTGATGTGATAAGGATTTTTATTTGAATAGTTTTAATGCACATCAAAATCTCAAATGACAAAGTATAAACTACACAGACAACCCATACTTGCCTTACAAAGTGCACAGCATAATAGCTAAACTTGGCACTTTATTTGTTCCATAGGGTGGCAAGGGCCAGGCTCCTCCTCCTCTGTTACCGGGCCTGGGACCGCAGGGTCGTGCACCTCCTCATGGACAAGGACCCAGTTCTAATAAAGGTATATATTTTATTTTCTAATGGCACTTTTTGGTTTTCAGAAATTAAGGCAACATCCTACCCCTCGCTTTTGTCATTTCACATTAATAATGGTGGAGACTAGGGATATACCGATACTAGTATTGGTGCCGATACCAAGTATTTGAGTGAGTACTAGCCCAAATGCTCCGATACTTACCTCCGATACCGGAACTTGCGGTCAGAGGGAGATCTCCCTATGACCGGCAGTGCCGAGGGAGCATGGGGCCAGCTTCCTTTCCAGTCAGGAAGCCGGGCAGTGGGTTATGACCCGCCTCCCATCTTCTTGATTGGCTAGAAAGCCTGCATCACTTGTTGCTAGGCAGCCTGGCTTCCTAACCAATCAGTAAGCCGGGTCGCACGTAATGAACCAGCTTCCTGATTCGCCAGGAAGCCAGGCTGCCTAGGAACAAGTAAAAGCCGTTTTCCTAGCCAATCAGAAAGCTAAGAGGCGGGTCATGACATGCCGTCCAGCTTCCTGATTGGCTAGGAAGCCGGCTTCACTTGTTGCTAGACAGCTTGGCTTCCTGACCAACCGGGAAGCTGGATGGCTGCTCACGACACGCCGCCCAGCTTCCTGATTGGTCAGGAAGCCAGACAGTCTCGGCAAGTGAAGCTGGTGTTCTTTCGCTAGAACACTGGCTTCCCAGGCAATCAGGAAGCTGGGCAATGGGTCGTGATCTGCCACCCGACTTCCTGATGATGGGGGCACTCGGTATCGGTGAGTACCAACAAAAAAAATATCGTTACTCTACACCGAAAAAATTGTATTGTTGCATCCCTAGTGGAGACTATTTGAAAATTAACACTAAGCCTACATGTTGCTGTAAGAAGTGCAGAAGCATAAGACATATTTCTTTTCAGGTGAAGGGCGTGGGCCCACGAACCACCAGCCTGAACGGCGGCGCGAGCCAAGTCCTTTCCGAGGTGGGCAAGAGTGGATGGAATCCAGAGACAATAGAGGGCCTTCTGACAGACGAGGTCCACAACCTGAGGTACAGGAGCACCCTGACGAGTTCTTTGCGGATGATCGTTTTGGACCGCGTGGACATGAGTTTGACGGAAGAGGGGGAGGTCCTGCCGATGACAAATGGAGACGAGGCGGATCTAGTCCACAATATCCCCCCAATCACAGAGATTACCCTGAGCGAGAAAGAGATTCAGCCCGATGGGAGGGGCGGAGGCACTCTGATGACCAATATCCCAGAGAAGAGGATATGAGGTTTCGGGGACAACGAGATGAAAGGTAACATATAATAGCACAGCCATTATAACTGAGATTATTATATTAATGCAGGAAAATGTTCTTGTGTGACATTTGAATTTAAGGGATGGATGAAAAAGAACAGCTTTAGGTTTGCGTTCTCCTCTAGTTTAGCAAGCATAGCATCTTAAAGAGCACATAAATCTGCAATACATCCAATATTTGTCAACCACAGAGGAAAAAAAGACCTCTTTATAAGATTTATAAGAATAGCGAAAACTAGCTGTTTTCTACAGCAGCCAACCCAGTGTCTGCTTTCATTTCCTAATCTGGAGAAATGGCAGCTGGTTTCTGGGTGCAGGGACTGTACAGGTAACTGTAGAATACTAAAGTTAAAAAGAATCTTAGCAGGTACCTGCACCTTCAAGGCTAATTATTTGCTTAGAATCACAACTGGCATAGCACGATAAGCAAGTCAAACAAACACACTTTTCCCAGAGAGATTTTATGCAGTTGTGAATCAAATGTTAATGGAAGCTGATTAGCTAGCTTAAAATAGGAATCATCACTGGAGTCTCTGTAGAGACACTCTTCCTACCAGCAGGGCCAGATTTCCCTCAAGGCCAACCAAGGCCCGGCCTCCAGGCAGCAGGGGTGTGGAATTCCTATCTCCCGATGCCCGGGACATGCAGTTCTGGGCGACGTGCAGGTAGTTGTTTTTTACATTTATCCCTGCTTTGGGCAAGCAGAGATAAATGTACAGCGGGGAAGCCGCTGCTTGTTTTGTGCAAGTGTTCTCAGCGATGTTGCCGAGATCGCTTATATGCAGCCTGCAGGTCTGCCATTCTCCATGGGGGAGGGGGGAAGGCTGCATTGATGAACCTGGCCTTGGGGCAGCAGAGAGAGTAAATCCGGCCCTGCCCACCAGCCACTCTGTGCAGGACAGATGAATCATCACTGGAGTCTTAGTAGAGACCTATGCCCCCCAACCCCCTGCAGGGCACAGTAATCATCATTGCAGTCTCAGTACATATGTACCCCTCCTTTGCCCACTTGTGAGTAGCTAAGAAATCTTTCTCTGTAAGAGACATATCTTCTCAAAGTTCCTATGGGATCATTTACAAGCATCCAGGCTCTATGTAGGATTATACAAGAAACGTTTTCTAACATAACAAGACTTTTTTATAAATATGATTGTGGTTCATCATTTCCTGCCATTGCTCTTTAAAATATGTGATGCCTATTATAACTTAAACCAGCCAGTCCTCATTCATTTAACTGTTTTAAAATTGATTTTGATTTTTTTTATGCTCAAATTAGTTACCGCAGGTCTGCTCCCTCAAGACATGAGGGTCGTGGCTCTAGAGGGAGGGACGGATTCCTTAATTCAGATGAATTTGGTCCTGATGACAGCTATGATATGAAGGATGAACCTGGGAGAGGACGAGATTCTAGTAGAGGTCGTGGCCGAGGTTCTCAGAGAGGTGAGGTTCCGTCTTCTGTGTTAGCTATTTTGTGAACTGTTGCTGTTCATGTAATCTGATTGGTGGGCTTCTACTTAGTACAATTTATATCTTTGTTACTTGTATTTTCTACCAGAACCAAGAAAGGGACTTCTACCTACCCCAGACCGGTTTCCTGCTTCAGAACGGGGGCCTAATCACCAGTCACGAGAGCTAAGCAGAGATGGAAGTAAGAATTTTACTGTTCCACTAACTTTACAAGACCTTGGTGTTTGTTTATAAAGTAGCCATTGTGACAGTCACTAGACATTCACTGCAGGTGAATTTCACCTGGGCAATGCTTTTTAACATAGAGTGAATGATTCACCACGTGTGAATGTCGCATTCCTTGTTTTATAAAAAATGAATGTATGAACGAGTTCCCGCTTATAAGCACTTGCACTATGTAGACTTAGGACACAGCATACCTAAGTATACCCACCATTATATCCATATATACAAAAATACAAATCCTTATTCATTGTAGTCAAATCAAACAAGAAATGTATATACATCTCTAAAAACAAAACTACCAGCAGGTATCCTGACGTTCATGTAAACAAATCAATGTTCATATATATATATATATATATATATATTTCATGATTCAGTAATAAATAATGTCAATACAATCAAATGTTTGCCTAGAACTGGAATTTCTCTGGAGAAACAGCCAAGAAAAAGTAGTTCCAATATATCCAACCATCATCCTCCGCTGATGTATTCACATGTGATAGACACAGTGCACTCTAGTTCTTACATTGGCTTGCATAGAACCATGTTTCTTGGGATATCCGATTATAGGAACTGAACTTATTAGTTCATAACTCCTTTTACATAATCACCATACACCAGTGTGTCCTGGCAGGCAAGTGCACTTATACTCCTGTTACTTGGGTTTGGTAGTTCATCAGTTCAACAGCACGTGATGAAAAATATTCCCTATGGGCAGTATCTTCCGATTAGGAGAAACTGCACTAAAGATGAGGATTGTAGAGTCTGCAGTCCTTGCAGTCCTAAGAAATCGATTAAAAGCTAGGGGATATGAAAGCAGAATACTGAAGAAGGCATATAAAGCCTTGCACCGTCTGAGAAAAGCTCTTCATGTAATCTGATTGGTATATATGTATGTGCTTCTTTTCTTCATCAGGTTCAGAACACTTCCAGGACAGTCCTCACACGGACATTCCAACCCCAGAAAGTCACTCTCCAGCCAGCAGGGAGCGTTCCTCCTCTTTACAAGGCATGGACATGGCTTCTTTACCACCACGCAAAAGGCCTTGGCATGATGGGCCTGGAACCCCTGATCACAGAGATATGGATGCAATAGGAGGTCCAGGGGACGACCCTGGGAAAGGTAGACATGAATTCTGGAAAAAGGATCTCTAAATCTGTAGAGAAGGGTTGTCTGTTTATTTTGAGTCAGAATCTGTAATTTGGTATATTGAAGGTAAAATTATCCAAGCAATGTTAACATTTAAAGACAAATGAGCTGATTTTGTCACAGATCCCAGTGTGCACTACCTAGTTTGAGTCTAATTGTTGAATGTCTGACAGTTCGCTTTAAATGTCCTGTCTAAAAATAGGGTACTACAAGGTTCTAATTAGAAATTAAAAAACCGAAAGGAAACCGAAATAGAAAAAATTGTCAGGCTGAAACCGATACCAAAAATGTTTTTATTTTAATTTGTTAATATTTTATTTTTTATAAACTTTTAAATTTTTTATATTTATTTATCTATTCATTTTTTTTATTAAATATTTTTATTTTTTACTTTACTTTTAGGGGCTTCGGGGGAAATATTAGGGGTCTAAACAGAAAGAGAGGTTCTTTAAAATAGAAAAAGAGATTCAGAACACAGAGTCCTCAATCTCTTTTTCTGTGTCCCCTGTTATCAATGAACAGGAATCCTCTGTGAGTGTTCCTGTTCATTAATAACTTGAGAATAGAGTATGTTTACTGTAACCACAACTATGAATGAACAGGAGTGGATATAGATCACTCCCATTCATTCATAATTGAGGATACCATACCATATACTCCATTATCAACAAACACTCAGCGATCACTGATAATCTGAGTGTTTGTAGCCTGCTCTCCTCTCTGACACACACTGTCACAGGAGGCTGAGTGAGCGGTGCGGGAGGAGAGCTCAGCCTCCTGTGACAGCGCTGTCTCTGGCCCCACACCGCTCTGCCGCACTGTGATAGGCGGCGGTGTGGGAGGAGAGACACTGGCCGCTCACAGCACTCTTGTCCCGCAGCGCTCGGCCGGCTGTCACTTTCTCTCCTCCCCGCTGGGACACAGAGCAGCGCCCAGCGGGGAGGAAAGAAATCACGGATGCGCCGATGTGTTGGCAGGAAAATGGCACTTTCGGCATTTAGCCAAAAGTGCCATTTTCGGCCGATAGATCGGTGCATCCCTAGTTCTAATGTTTCCTTTTACCATCCAAATACCCTTCTCTGTGTTCCTTTATTACTAGGGTCCTAAATTCTGATTAAAGCCCCTCCCCCTTGTGTCTGTCCAATAAAGGATCCTCTGTTTGCCGTGGAAGTCAAACCAATAAGAAGTTCAACTGTGGTGCACATAGCAAGACTTTCTGGCTGATGAATGTAGTAGACACTCTGCAGGGTACTTCTTCTTGGTCAGGAATTTTGGTTTTGATGTTTAAAATGGCCAAAAACTTCACTTTAATTGTGCTCCCTCGAAATTCGAAGTCAGATCAGAAGACTGAAATCTAATGTACATTGGCACATTAAATGTCAGCAAAAATCAGAAAAAGAAATCTGTATTATGGATAATACTTTTTGTCATCTCTGCCAGGTCCTAATAAATACAACCAGTTATTTTAGTACTGTATTGTTTCTAACTTACATTGTAGTAACTAATATGATAAAGTAACCCAACACATCTAATTATTTATACTAAAACAATTGTGTATTTGTATTTGATCTCTCCTCTGTGTCTGTCTTTTTTTTCACCATACAGGCCGTGAAATGTCCGGACCTCCACCCAGGTCACAAAGGCTGAGCCGTTCCAGCTCCCAAGAACATGAGGAGGGTTCCACAAGGAGTTCTCGGGCAAACTGGGGTCGAGGAGGATCTGGATCCAACAGCAGTATAAACTCTAGTCAGTGGAGAGGTGGTCCTCGGGGGAGTGGAAGTAGCAGTGGAGGTGGGAGGAGTCGATAAGAGTCCATATTGGACCAAACAGAACAGGACTTTTAATGGATGGCAGTGGCATCAATGCTGAAGAGGATTGTGCTTGTGACTATAAACATATTCATTGTTGGAACACTGGAAACATCATCCTAGAACTCTCCAAGGAAAAAGCAATCCAACCATGTTAGTTTTTCTTGTTTTTCTTTTAAGTCCTTTTCCATCAGTGCTGAGGTCCCAGCAGCCATCATTTCCTGCCCTCCCTTCCCTCAAAAGTTGGGAGATAAAAAAAACTGCAAAACTTTGTACAGTTTGTCAGTTAAATAGTTTAAGGTTTTTTTTTTTGTATGAAATGCGGAATGTAAAGTTCTCAACAAATAATGGAAACATTCTGCTTGTTGCTTTATTTCCTTTTTGTTGAACAATAAGTTGTTTGTATGAATGTTAAAGTACTTTTTGTTTACTGTTTCCTTACTGTGATTCTCAATGGCCCTTAAGCTGCTTGTAGGCATGAGATGACAGTCGCCCTGTCTGGCCACTTTGTGTCTAGGAAAGTCAATCGGCCATATTGGATAACTTGTCCTAACGTTTGTTTCCTAGACAAGAAAGAAAATGTACACACTTCCCTTACTGTTATACACTGGATCTGGACATTCATTATGATATCCCAGTTACCATGACTTGGACAAATAAACCACACATCTTATCTCCTCTTTCCTCTCCATTGGCATAAACACAAACGTTCAATCAAGCTGAATGTTTGTGATTCTAGATGAAGGCAAAGGCATACACCAGGTGTAGTCAAATGTCAGCCCTCCAGCTCTGGTGAAACCACGAATCCCTGCATGCATCTGCCTCCGGAGGCAATGCCTGTCAGTCTTGCAATACCTTATGGGATTTGTAGTTTCACCACAGCTGGAGGACTGATGTTTGGCTACCCCTGGCATACATGCTTCCAACTAAACACCATTAGGCCCACGCTAATAATCCTACCGCTGCCTGCAATAGTATATCTAAGAGAGCAGAGAAAAGCTCACCACCTCTTATGGTATCATTCCTTCACTGGTTAAAAAAAGGGAGTCATTGCTCCGTTGCTTCTCTCTGGTTGGCGAGCAGGATTCTGTGGCATTTCAGACAGCAAGGGATGGATGCTGCAAGTCATATCTGCAGTCCTGTGACTGGCAAGTTGCTGTCAGTCATGGGATTGCAGATATGACATGCTCCTTACACTTTATCAAATTACAGGCAAGGACTCCACTTAGTTATTTAGACTTAAAAGAAGCTAACTTGATGAGGCTCATTTACTAAAGGATTTAAGAATTTTCACTCAGTAAATCTGGCCATAAACCTATAGATTATCTGCAGATTTTCTACGAACAGATTCCTCCATCTACGCTAAACTGTGTGGATGGAGTAATCTCCCACTGGCCCATGCTTCAGTATCTTGCTAGTCAGCCCCGCTGGCTGTCAAAACACATGAACAATGCCTGCATCCAATCAGATTGTTCAGGTATTTTGAGAGCCAGCGGGGCCAACTAGGAAGATACTGAAGCTTGGCCCAGCAGGAGATTCCTCCATCCACACAGTTTAGCGGAGATGGATCTGTTGCACTTTTTCCATCTGACCATAGAAAATCTGCAGATAATCGATAGGTGTATGGCCAGCTTAAAGGAGAACTATGGGGTCAGTGTTTTTCCCCATAGTTCTCCTTGGGGTAACGGGAGGACACAAACTAGCATCCTCCCGTTACCCTGGCAGATCGGAGCGGGGAGAGGGGAATCCAGCCCCTCCCCCTGTCACGGCAGAGAGCCGTGACAGGGTTTGAGAGGTGAGGGAACCCGGTATGTGTTCGCTCACCTCCCGATCTACTGAGCCGACCTGTGACAGTCTCATTGTCACAGGTCGGCTTAGAACTATGAGGTGAGTGGAAATCACTCACCTCATAGTTCTCCTTTAAGTTAAGATTGACTTCAGTTCTCCAATTATGTGAAAATCAAATCCCTGTTTATTTAATCTGCACGTGATTAGGTATACAAAAATGAATGCACCTACAATTTATTGAGTGAAGATGCTCTACCCCTTTAGTAAATCAACCTCATTGTGTAGAGAGATTTGGGAAACACTAATTGCAAAGCTAGCCACAGACCGGAAATAACTAATCCAGTCTGGCCGGATTGTGTGACAGTCATGTGTATTGCAGTAGTCGACATCTACCTGTGAGAAGAGCGATGGATGGAAGATGGGTCCAATTGCTATTCACACTGAGGTGCTTACTGCTCCCCTCTTCATTTAGGTAAAACATACATGTTTCAGTGAGCTTGACTGTAGGTTTTAAGGGAAACATCATTGAATAGGCGTGCCTCTGGGCAATTGAATTGTACCTGCGTGATCAATCACCTGCTTAGGTACTGACAGATGAGTGTTGCATTCTAATATTGTAGATTTGCCAACTTTCAGGAGTGTCGACCATTCACAAAGATTTTGTACTTCATGTAAAATTATTTTCTCCAAGTCCAAGGACACATCTGGATGATAATTAAGCAATTTAGGGTTATAATGTTGCCTACAGGAGAAATGAACACTAGTCATATGGAATGTAAAGTCCATCCCCCTGGAGGCTTTTACACCTTGCCAGTTGTAACGAGCAGCACAAATAGATAATAACATTATTAGGAGAGGGAGCTGTGTTCTTCAGTGGGGTCTGAGAAAAGGATTTTACGGTGAGTACAAACATCCCATTGCTTTTCCGTTCATGGAAGGACACAGTGGAGACCTTGAATCTTTGACCATTGGGTGATAGTGCCACCATTAGGTGTAGGACACCAGGCATAAACCAAAGCACAGCCTAGAGGTGCCCACACACCTTACGATAATCGCGGGAAATCCCGCGATCGTACGATTATTGCAAGGTGTGTGGAAGGCATGCGACCGTTTTTACTGTACAGTCGCACGACTTTTATCTTAGGAACATGTTCGAAAACCCGCCGAGAATCGTACGATTGTCGGCGGGTGTGTGGCATGTTCGTAAGAGCTCAGGTCTTTCTAAATCAGTGATTTCTACGCTGTGAATGTTCAATGGTAGGGGCTAGCATTGATCATAGACTGGGAAGACTTCTAACTGGTTTAAAGCCAGGTTTGTATCAGCCCCTGAATCTGGTACTGTTTGGAAAGTTCTGAGTTCTTTTGTTTTTAGCCTAGTGTCCTACTCCTGAAGGTGGCGTTATAACCCAATGGTCATAGATTCAAGATCTTCACTGTCCTTCAAAAAAATTAAGCAAAAAAGATTTTTCAGTGAGTACAAAAGTCCTATTTTTCAAAGAGCCAGGCGGGCAAAGCCAGTGACTGAGAAGCGGGGACAAACATCAGTCCTTGGGATAACAGAGCTGGCCAATATGGTAGAGGTTTAGGCTAACAGACAAATGATGTTGGTGTTACAAGTCTCTCTCATAGCTCCTGAGTGGCCTTGCTGTCAATCCTTATAAATAGATGAGGTAATAGCTTCAGCATAGGAAACGCATTGAGACATACTGATCCCACACTGCTAGCAGGGTGTCAGCTGCATCTGCTGGCGGGTCCCTTGCCCTGGAGGCAAATGCGATGCAAGCAGAACCACATCGGGCATGCCAAACACCCTCCCCACTGCAGACATGTTTTGAAACACCTGATGAAGATATCATTCCCCTGGGTCCAGAGGATGTCTCCTGGGGGAATCTACCTGTCGGAATATGTACCATGGAGATTACTGCAATATGAAGCTTGGCTGAGGACAAGGTAGATTTTGCTTCTGGTGCCACTGCAACACTCTGGATGCCCTGCTATTAATGATGTAAGCCACAGCTGTGCATTGTCTGATTAAACCCAGACCAAATGATCGGTCAGAAGAGGGTCCAATAAAGTAATGATGGGCAAATTGCTTCCAACTCCAGGATGTTGATTGCAACCCTGATCTGATGAACTGAACTGATCCATCCATAGGGAAGCCAAACTTTGCACAGGTGTGCCCCAGCCCAGGGAAACATGCTCACACCATTAAGGCTGGGCACACACCTTACAACCATCGCAAGACTTTCGTCTTGCGATGGTTGTAAGGTACTTAAAAAAACGTACGATCTGCCTATCCTGGACAGGCAGATCGTACTTGTGATGATCGCAAGTCGCGCCCCCCTGAGGGGCGGGCTTCCGATGACTGCAATGCCGAACGGGCAGTGTGCGCTTGCGCACACCGGCCCGTCCGGCTTTTATCTTACGAACATGCCACACATCCGCCGAATATCGTACGATGCTCGACGGGTTTTCGAACATGTTCCTAAGATAAAAGTCGTGCGACCGTACAGTAGTAGAGGTCGCACGGCTTCCACACACGTACGATCGTGGGATTTCCCCACGATTATCGCAAGGTGTGTGGGGACCTTAACACAGAAATACTTCCCCTGAGGGGTGTTTGTGGGTTTCTCTGTTCACTCTATAGTCCAGTAGTATATGCACCCCAGGTACAAAGAACAAATGATTGTGCCATTATTAAATTAAGCTTCTTTTCAGCTAGCAGTTAGAAAAAAAAAGAATTTTGTTTAACACATTCCAAACAGCCACTGTGCAGTCAAGGGGCCCCAATAGGTTGAATTCTGAGCAGCTTCTAAATCCTTTGCTTAGTTTGAATGCTATACCTGTAAGCCATTTGCAGCACCCCCATAGCTTGGCCACAAAACTACTATTGTGAGCACCCCCCTGTCCTGCCTATATGGATTTGTTGAAGGCTATTCCCCAGCATCACAGGAGCAGGGGCTCTCCCTCCTTTAGTTTAGCACATGAGCAGTATGCTCTCCCTCCACCTGTAGCAGCAGCTGAGCTCAACGCTGAAGGAAATCAGCAGCACTGAGATACAAACAAATAATGAAAAATAGGTTGGCAGTTTTTCTTTTTATGTATGCATTCCACTTCGTGTTCACACTTCTATTGTAAAAGAGCTCTAAACCCTGCTGGTAATTTTGTCATATGCACCAAAAACAATGTTTGTGATTGTTCGAGTTTCTATACACAAGCAAAGCATGCACTGGGCACCTGGACGTCGTGTTTTGAAATCGCACATGGTTGGGGCCCTCCTTGGCACTCACTTGAGCAGGAAATGAAATGAACTGGTAGCACAGGATGTATGACCGCCAGACTGGGTGGGTATTGTTCACAAAATTCTCAGCTGCTCATGTGTGTTGAGCCATTTGTTAGACTCTTCCGTCTTCAGGAAAGCACTCTGTGATTGAGGAATGCATGCCAGTCAATCTCTTGGCCATGTTTATCAGCAATGAAAACTCTTTTATTTAGGAGGTGAAAATGGCGACATGGCCACATGATCTGTAATATTCTAATTTACCTTTTTTTGAATGTAACGTTTCTCCA